AAAAAAAAAAAAAGCCTATTATGGCAGCCAAACCAAAGAAGAGAAGCTTCAAAATTATTTTACATAATACATACCTAAGTCCTCCCAAAATTATTAAGCTGATTGAGGATCCTGATTCACCTGGCTTTATCAGGAAACAACCTGCTAAGTATCCCTATCCAGGCTATAAGAGTGTTTTTGGCATCAGCTTGTCCACAGGAGCTTGGCAACACTCTCCTTCAATAGCTCATCCCCTCCAACAACAGAAGACAGCCATATTTCTTAGGCTTCATCTATGAAAGGTTCAGGAGTGGCACCACCTTGGAGGGACCTGTTGAATTAGTGGCTATGGGGATGCGTGTGCTACACGGACTCAAAGGGGAAAAGACAAAGTGAAAGGGGCCACCTTCTGTGAGAAGAAAACAGGAGCAAGTAGGAAAGAACGTGAGTAAATGACACTGCAGAGCAATCCTGAGCCAAGCGTTGGACAGCTTCTGGCATAGGAAGAGATGAATTAGGAGAACTGGGAAGAGAGTGCCTAAAGTATTTGACTGGAGAAATAGCGAGAGTTATTTATTTCTAGAGCAACTGTTAACACCTTCCCCTGTGAGCCCAGGGGGTTTGGAGAACCCCAACGTGGTCCTAAGGTGTGGCAAGGAGGAACTAAGAGCTCCACAGCTATGGGAGCTCAGAGCGCTTCCAAAGAGTTGTTTGTTTGGACCTGTTCACAGCTTGAGACAAAAGGAAGAAACAAGAGATGGGTACAGAGATTCACAGCCATTTGGAGACCTCAGTGCACAAGGATGCAAAGCTGGAACGCAAGCTTCCCACACATACTCAGGAATGGGCATTGTCAGGGGGAGTTTTTCTCTGGCCCTATCTAAACACAAAAGCACCTGCCATGGAACAGCAGAGTCCACAGAGGGAGAAAAATTTTAAGCTACTGTGTTTTGGGTTTTTTTTAAAGGAGGGTGCAGCTCACAGCGGCCCATTCGGGGATCGAACCGGCAACCTTAGTGTTATCAGCACCATGCTTTTACCAATTGAGCCAACCGGCCGCCTCTAGTGTGTGCTTTTTGAAACTTGCTACTTTTACCTGTGGTACCAAGGAGATTGGAATTTTGTTCCGGAGTATCTGAAAGGGTTCCTCCGAACATCTCCTGGGACCAGGAGAAGGGTGACATCGCCTGGGACAATCCTAAAACAGTAAAACTTTTTTTTTTCAATTAAAGTTCTTATTTTGAAATAACTATAGATTGATTCCTATGCAGGTGTAAGAAATAATACAAATTCCACGGACCCTTTTCTCAGTTTCTGCCACGGTAACATCTTGCAAACTTATAGTACAATATAACAATGGAGATATGGACTTGGATACCATCCATAGATCTCGTCCGGCTTTCCCCAGTGTTACTTGAACTCATTTGCATGTGTGTGTATTTAGTTCGACACAGTTTTATCCCATGCGTAGGTTTAAGTATCCATCACCTCGGTCAAGACTCAGGACGTTTTCATCACCACAAGCGTCCCTCAGTTGGCCTGTTATAACCACACTCACTTCTCTCCCTTCTCCTTAACCCCTGCCAACCACCAATCTAGTCTCCATTTCTGCAATTTTGTCATTTATAGCATAGTGTAGAAATGGAATCATGAGGAATATAAACTTTGGGGATTGGCTTTTCCACTCAGCGTAATTTCCTTGAGATGCACGTTGTTGTGTGAATCAATTGTTCCTTTCTATTTCTGAGTAATACTTCATGCTAGAGACATCCTGCCATTTGCTTAACCATTCATTTTAAAATGATCCAATTTTTTAAGAGTGAAACAGGCTGACTTTTAGAAACCAGATGCATTTTTGAAATTCCCCTTATATGAAAGTTAAAAAATGGAATGGAAAAGAAAACTTTGCTTTTAAGGGTGTGTGTGTGTGTGTGTGTGTGTGTGTGTGTGTGTGTGTGTGTTCTCAGGTTTTATGGCTTGAAGGAAATTTTTCTAAATTATGGCTGAGTGGTACTGTTCTTGATCACAACCTAAAACTAATAACAACCATAATGAGAAAAAGAGATTATTTTTGTGTCAGATGAGAATTGTGCAATGGTCACATGAGTATTTAAAATAAACATTTTTTTTTGCCTTTTCTTATAATTTACAAATACTCTTGATTTGGGGTGTTTGTTTCCTGTCAATTAATAGGATATCCTAACCCAACGCTTTACTCATTCTGTACAATGTGTTCAGCCAGCATTCAGCCAGAATTTTAAATTATAATGTTTAATAACTATCCTAAAAGAATGTAGCTTTCTAAATAAATGAAACACCTCCTTTGTAAGTGATGGAGACTTTTTCAGCTTGCTTGCAGATGGAATACATTAACTATTAAATAATTTATTGTTTTTAATAGGGATAACACCCTGTTTTCATTAAAATAATTTTAAATCATTAATGGTCATTTAAATAACGTAACCCCACCTCAAGTCATTCTATTTTCATTAATTGGAAATAACGCAATTATCCATTTTTGGCAAATTGCAAACATATCCTTTGCCTGTAAGTACTGAATCTAAAAGAAAGCCATGGAAAGAATAAACAATTCTGGTTTTAAATCCCCCTTAATATTTCTGGAAAGAATTTTCTTTTTTTAATTCAGGTCATTTTATATACCAACATTTATATAACCCTTTGGGAACTTCATTACACTTACAAGATTAATTTAAAATTTTTTCTTTAAGCTTTCAAACTTGACTGTAAGAATGTTCATAATGTGAAACATGACTCATATATCCTAGTTGTCCATTTTCTTTATATCTTTTACAACTAAAATCACTAAGAATTCTATCGCTGCTTTATTATTTTAAAAGGGGTGGCTTCTCTCTTTTTTTTTAAGCTGGAAATTCAGGGAGGTCAAGTTTTAGAGGCTATGTGCACTCTTTCCCAGGAATCAATTAGAGCTTCCTGCTGAAAAAAAAAGGATAAAGGTACAACTTAGCCCAAGCAGCCTCTGCAAAGAACTGCTTTTCATCACATGTCTGAACTACCAGGACAGAAGCTTCATCCACCAGAGGAAAACACGAAATCAAAACAAAAGACAAACACGCCACCATCAAGCAGAAACAACACGTCAGAGCTTCCCCCTTATGGTTCCTCAAGGGTTTCTGTCACCTGAATTTGCAAATCCAAGCAGCTCAAATTCTTCAAGAGAAGCATTTGATTAAATATTTCGACCTGGGTAATTTCTTGATCTCTATGTAAAACATTCGTTCATCTGCCACACACAACCTAATCCCTTTTCTGGAACTCACCTGAACCTGAGCGTACGCCCCACCTGCGTGGAACTGGGAGCAATCGCACGCCTGGGTCTCACATTTTCTTTACAAAGCATAAACTTTAAGAAAAAAGCTCAACATTTCAAGGCTACATTAAACTCACTGTTAACAACAAATGTTTCAATGTCTTTCCTTTTTAGAAAAAAAAAAGCTGCTCTATTCATAGAGATGAAAAGATATACTCCAAATTGGGTTACCTCTGGAGTAGACAGAGACTGACTTTCTAATTTTCTACTCTTTTAGATCGTTTGCATCTTTATTTTTTTAAAAAAACAATTAGTATATTCTGTTTTTATAACAAAATCCTTTTCTTCATTTGTTTGTTTTCAATCTCTGTACTTACCAACTTCTGAGAAAACTTCAAGGGGAAACATCAAAGCATTGAAACCACAGGACACAGACAAACCTGAAGGAAACAAAGGTGGAGATAGATGCTCAGAGACGCTTAGAGTCAAATAGGCAAAGACTGGCTCAAAGCCCCCTGGCAACACTGGGATAACAGAGGAAAAGACTTCTTGTCCAGGTTATGGGGCTACAGAGTTTTTTAAAAAAACAAAAAACAAAAAGGAGAGAGAGCTTAAAAATTAATCCACTTCTATAAAAAAAATTATAGAACTAAACTCAAGCAGGAATGGATCACATAGGTCCTTGTAAAAGAGTGAGTGAGTAGCCCAGAGAACATGTTCAAGTGTCATTTTTCGAGAGAGACATTCTGCTCCTATAGATGATTCTCAGAATCACCCTCTATAGAAACACTTACCTAGTGATTGAGTAAAGGCATTTCTGAGATTCTGTTGTCCTGATAAGAACACATTAAAAAAAAAAGTACTGCTCTATATAAAACCATAACAGGTTCCTTTTGCTTGATACAGTGGCATTTATATACTTTTAAATCTGGAGGGAGGTTCTGGGTTGCTTTCCATTACATTTCTTATGTAGCAGACCAACGCTTGGTGTTCCAATGGTCCATAGCTACACTTTTACATTAAAACACGGGGAAGAAAAAGAGATGAAAATTAAACGAGAAAAAAATCCCCACAGTAACTATTTGGAAAAAAGAAAGAAGGTAAAAATAATAATAACAACAATAATAATAATTATTATTATTATTACCATTATTATTATTAAAGGCCCACAATCCCTGTTATCCAGGTGTCTCTTTTCTATTGCTTTCCTATATTTATTCCTAAAGCATTATAATCATAGGGTACGTGCAATTTTGTTTTACTTTTCCCAGCATATATTTTCCCAGGAGTATTTTTTCACATCACTGGAGAGTTGTTTTACATATGACAAATGTCTTCTTGCATTTTCCATATATGTAATTATTGCCTTAAAACTGTGGAACAATGGGACATTTTAATGGCTCTTATTGATACATATTGATAGATATTGACAGGTTGACTTTCAAAATAAATAATTTTCAAGATGAAATATACTGACTTCCTATTTTTAAATGCTTGTTTTGGAAGGTACCTCACCCCAATTTGGTTTAAACTGAATTTCTTTGCTTATAGGAGGGTTGAGCAGTAATGCAACGTTTGAGCAAACATTTCTATATTTTCAACTAGAAATATTTCTTTTCCCAGTCATAGAAAATATAAAAATTAAAAGTACTGCACATTTTATCTGATGGAGTTTAGCGGTGCTGTTATCGATTTGCCAAAGCTCATTATATAATAAAGATATTAACTCTTGCTATACTGCTTGGTCACAGCTGCAAATGTTTTCCTCCATTTATTTGTTTGTTTTAAACCATGGCCAACTTTGAATCTCAAGGCATTTCCTCCCCATCACAAAATACCCTACTTTCAGCTGATGAAAGCTCAGAAAATGCACGCCGATTTGTATGTTAGCTGAAGCAAAACATCATTAGGAAGATAAATTTGCTGTCACCTCTCACATCCGCACAAAAATCACGTGCCACTTAAAAATCAATGTCAACTTGAAACGGCTTTTGGATTTCCTAGAGACAGGGTATGAGAAGGGGTTCTGAGGACTGAACAGGGGGTGATTCAGTCTTCTTTTCTGTAAAATGGGTGAAATCATATTACAGTTTCAAGAGAAAATAGCAAATGAGAAAACAATTTCAAAGTGTCACATGCAACACAATGATATTAATGATACTATCAAAACAATAAATATAACAATTAAGGCATTTAAGGTAATAAGCAGGATGCCACTATCTGTCACGTCTTCCCAGTTGGCATGCTTACTTGTAGAAATCAAACCTATGGCATCTAAAAGCTGACGAGGGGCTGGCCAAGTGGCTCAGTTGGTTAAGAGCTCACTCAAGAGTGTGAGCTCTGGGCCAGCCGAGTGGCACGTTGGTTAAGAGTTGGCTTGGGATGCCAGAGGGCCCCGGTTCGGATCCCACATATGAGGGCCAGTGACACTGCCCTCTACAGCTAAGATGCTGAACAACAGTTCAACTTGGAGCTGGGCTGCCATGAGTCGCCGGCAGTGGGTTGCCATGGGCTACCGTGTGTAGCCAGCAGCCAGTGTGAGCGGTCAGCAGCCGTCCAGAAGCTGGCGACTGATCTGCCTCGCCCAGGAAGAGCGCAATGATGGTGCCAACTTGGGCCAGTGAAGCAACGTCCTCCACAACTAGACTGAAGAACAAGGGGACAGCAACTTATCTGTTCCCCTTCCCCCAATTCCCCAGCACTGTTCCCATCCCCCAATTCCCCCAATAAAAATCTTAAAAAAAAAAAAAAGAGTGCGAGCTCTGAGCAACAGGGTCACTGGTTCAATTCCCGGCCCAAGATGAGCTGCCGCTGAGCTATTTGGCAGGATGGCTCAGCTAAAAATAAATAAATAAATAAAATAAAAGCTGATGAGGTCACAGACCCCATCTGGTCCATCCCCCTCCTTTTTATTTAGTTTTAATTAATTACATCCAGGGCAATAGATACACACAAAGAAGAATTTGATTTCCCTATAGAATGTCCATTTTTTCAGATTAAAAATATTACTTGTAGGAATAGGGTAAATGTAAGCAAGGAAAATAAAACCCATCAATAGCACCATCACTTAGAAAGAACATCTATTAATTTTCTTCTTTTCCCTTCCTTCTTTAGAAGGACATATTGAAATTTATGTCCTAAATCCAGGGGGTGGTAAATCTATGACCTGAGGTTTTGCAATGAGAAAAATGACAAAGCCATGCATCTTTCTAGATTTGGTGAAGGATTCCCCCACGTGTGATAACTTTCTGGAGGTGTGTCCCTTTCAAAGGCACAGCGTAAAACATTCTCAAAAAGTGGGACTGTCCTTTGGTGGCTGTCCTCATAAAAACAAAACGAAATAAATAAAACAAAACCCCAGAGCATAAAGACAAAAAGGAATCCTCGAAGAAGGAAAAAAGAAGAAGCTACCACAACCCAAAATAAGTGTTCTCTCTGCAAGAACGATGAGCTCTTGCTGAGGCATCTTCAAGGAAACAGGACCGTCCTCCCTGAGCATACAGCACATTTTATCCATAGGAAGCTACTCGTTTCCGGTTTCTTGGGCAAGTTAGAATCTCTCTGATCCCTTCACAGGTGTCTTCTCATTTACTGTCAGCCATCATGTTTTCGCAGTAGAGCTGGGGCTACACAGGCAGCAGGTTTGTCTCCTGTCATCCAGGGAGCCCCACCTGCTCCAGGTAGACCTACAATGAAGCTGGTGGCCCTCAGCTGTAATGTGACACTGTTCCCTCTTCTCCCCAGCTAAGGCCAGGGTCTGCTCACTCCTTGGCAGTCACCTTTTAATAAAGCTCACCTGGGAAAAATACACCATGAAAATTGTTATGAAGGGACATAGTGAAGAAAGAAATTAGTCTCATTAGAAGCATTTATTTTTAAATTAAATTTTAATGAAATGTATTGGAGTGACACTGGTTAGCACAATGATATAAGTTTCAAGTGTGCATCTCTATAATACATCATCTATATATTGCATTGTGTGTCCACCACCCAGAGGCATTGATTTAGGATAGATAATTTATGATGCTTATAGTAGAGTTTTTCCTACATCATAGGTGTTTAAGGATCTCATCATTTCAGTTTCTTATCAAAGTTAAATACAAAATTCGATCTTTGATTTGAGTTAAAAATAGCAGCTAACATATTTCTGAGCACTAAATGTGGATTAGATACTTTTCATGCACTATCTCATTTAATTGTTTAATTTTTAAGGATTTGTGATCTAATTTTTA